AGATTGAGGGCTGCTAAACAGACAGATCTAGGAAGAACATCCTCACAAACAGAAAATTACAGTCTTACGTGTTATATGCACCAGCATGAACATTTATTTTCCTTAAAGCGTCTGGGTTTTGCAGCTGCTGAAGATGGTGCGAGACTCTACAGTCACTACCTCTGAAAACCGTAATTTCTTATACTTAGTTTTTATTTATGTTTTTAGATCATTATGGTTTGACAAAGTATCAATCTCTACCTGTTTCTTAATAGAGTTTTTTTAATGCAGACAATTGTTCTCTCGCTACAGCTTAAAGGCGGGAGGTGGAGAGAGGGGGAAGGAAACTCATTACATGGCGAAATTCACCTAGTATTCCTGGGACTTCAACAACTCAAGCAGCATTTACTGATCCTACTGAATCCTCCTTTTTTTTTTGTTTTTTGTTTTTTGTTTCAATCCCATAAGGAGGCAGCTTTCTAAAAAAGCAAAGAAACAAAACCACTTTTTGACACAGAAGACAGCATATTCTGACCAGAAGGGTAAAACCTAAACACACCCAGCCTCACTAGAACAGCCTCATTAGTAGCTGGACATTGCAAACCAGGAAGATATGCTTGCATATTAGCATTCTCCAGCAGAGAAGCCTCCCATAAACTACACAAGACTTTGACAACAGAAATATTTCAAGGTTACTAAAAGAACTAAATTATTCATGATTAATAATTACTATTGAGCAGTATCTCCTTTACTTACAAACCTGGTTTCTACAAGTATGTTAGTTTAATGTATTTACTGAAGAATGCCTAGGAAAACTATGACTTCTGTGTAAACAGTTGCCTGTGCAATGCATTATGTGTGAACTTTGAGCCACATTCACATAGCTCCACTCGGGCAAGGTTTAAATAGAAATCAACCCACACAAGCAGCAAAGATTTTACAGATTATCTTGTAGTAATCAGTCACACTAAATCACATCAGACAACCCCAAAAAAATAAGAGTTTTAAAGTACAAAATCAGAATCCCTAACTTAAAATCAATTTCACATCTATAATGCAGCAGGAGTAAAATGCAAGTGTCCTTTGCACCTCAAACCCCCCTAATTCAGGTGATTCATGGTATAAAACTCCACATTAGTTCTGGAAGACCCAGCAGTTCGCTTCCCCTGTGTAAGATTAACAGTGCTGGGAATTACTAAGCTTGCAATAAATAGTAATTGCTTTCTAACCAGTGCCGCAATATCTGGTGCTTTCACTGGGGAATGCAAGATCATATGGAAGACTGTCAAGTAAAGCTTTGAGATTTAGGTGAATTCACATCAGGCTTTATCTATGTATATGAGTTTATATGTAAGTGAATATATTTATATATGCAGAACCTGAAGTGCTTCATATATATTGCATTATCAGCATTTATGTCAATGAATTTTTCAGACAGATGAAGTCTGTATGTGTTTACACTCATGCTGGACTCTTCTTGACAAGCCTGTTCCACACTGCTTCACTGAGGTGAACTGAAGACACCCACAGAAGGGCTCTTCTACATTTGAGTAAGGATAAATCATCCTGTCTTCATAAACTTCATGCACAGAGCCAAACCAAGAAACTCACCTGTTCTCTCAGTCTGCTAATGTCTCTGAAAAGCCATCAGAGAGGACCACTGTGTAGATACCATCTGTTTCTTAGACACTTGTAAAATGAAAGATTTTTCTCTTTTTTAATTTATAGGGATTATGAACGTGATTGGAAATAATCTGAAGAGTCCAAGCACAGTGGGAGGGAGCAAAACATGTGGCTGTGCTGAAAGGCACATACAGCTGCTGAGCCTGCAGGTGCATCTGAAGTACACAGACAGGATGAAAGATTAGGGAAGGTGCTCCTGGGCTGGATAATTTGGATGGTGAGGGAAGTAGTCTGCAAAAGTAAATGAGGAAAAAAACATGCTTAGATAAAATAAGGTCTAGAAGAAAATAAGGCAAATGGGGGAATCAAATCAAAGTTAGGATCTTAGAGGTATGAAGAGCAAGTAGAAGAAGAGAGACAGAGAAAGGAATCCAACTATGAAAAAAAGTGGCATTAGGTCTAGTGGGAAAAATTATGAAAAGCTAGAAAGGGAAAAGGTAGCAATTAGAATGGTGAATGTGAAAGCAATCATCTGACTTTAGTATAGTCGGACAAACTCTAATGAGGAAATTGTAAATTACTATACAATTTTCCGATTCCCTACAATATCTATATCTGACTGGCAATCATTCACACCACAGTGAGAAAAGTCTGAGAAATATGAACATTACAAACAACAATCAAGTAAAATGTACTCTCTCTTTTGGATTTATAAAGGCTCCAAGTCAGATATTCAGAGGAATGCATGGCAAACAGCAGCACCTCACTCATGAACAACAGATACTTTCCTGAACTCGAACACATCCAACTTTCCATCCTTCTGCAACTAAATACAAATGTGAATGCAAAGTCTTGAGCAGGGCACTGTGGAAGATAAAAATAGTTCTGCCTACAACACACACTTGTCTCTACAGGCTCATAGCATGGCAGTTGAGAAGCATGAGGCACAGTTTCCATTTCTTAATAGAACATCAAATCACATGCTCAGCCACTTGCAGATTAAATCTTGCTGTCTTACAGCTGTGTGACTAGCGATACGATTAAAGGAACAAATAAAATCCTTGTAAAGATACTTGTCAATTTGGGATTTTCTAGACACAGCTCATCCCAAAAAAGCCACAGTGCACAATACATGGCAATATGAAAAACACAGCAGAAGAGGGGAAAAAACATAAAAATTGCAAAATGCCCATAACTGAATGTATATTGTGAATACTCAAATATGTTTTACTTCATATCGGCTCTTAAGCAGCATACAGGGGGCAACATTAGAGAACTGAGCTGCAGAAGGTTTAGAGGAGACACAGGTGTTTGAAATAAAAAAGAATGGTTCTCTTCATGGTAAATTGGAAGAAGAGGCAAGAGCAGACACCAAAGACTGATTTTTCACCATGATCTTTCTGACGTGCAGGACTTAGCAACTGTAGACAATGCCAAAATTCTTCTTTTTGGATCTTGCTGAAGTGCTGTCCCAGCAGCAGCCCAGTAGGATAAAAGGGCACTCAAAATTGCAGCCACACTTTAAGCTCTCTAACCATTCTGTTGTTCTCCAAAGGTTTCCGTTTTATTACAGAAATGTTTTCACATGGAAATGACTTATGTGTACTAGGAGAAGCCTCTCGCCTGAAGATTATGGCAATACATCAAAGAAAACCCCAAAGAAAGCATCTGGTTGCCCAAAAGAATACTCTGTGTTCTAACTCCCCTTTTATTATCTTTTTTCCCCCGTTTCTTTTAAATGGTAGATAGATACAGACAAAAAGAAAGGAAAAAGCAGTGAGAAATAGGAACAAGGAGCACTTCAAGGAAAAGAAAAAGGTTAATTGCAGCTCAAGAAAAGATGCAAGGAATGTGAAGAATGTCAGCAAGTAAATAAATCAATAATCTACAGTTATCATCTACATTCCTGAACTACCTTGAAAGCAAGGATATCTGACCTTTACATTCCTGACAAGAGTAGAGATTTCCAAGGAAGCCTTCCCCCGCCCCCCCCCCCCCCCCCCCAGCAGACTCTGTTTCTGCCAGCACCCTGGTGTCAACAGCTGATTACAAGAGAACCTTTCCCACAGGAGTCTGTGCTACCTCTTTTACCAGATTAACAAAATTAACATACATTAACAAAACACAAGATTGCAAATGTCTTGGACCAGTCCAGAGACATTAACAATCTGAAATTAATGTTGTGATCATTGCAGTTTAGTTGAAAAAACCCCTCAAGGTCATTGTCAAACAACTGCAAGAGTGATTCACTAGGTTCTCCCCCTCACCACTGCTCTCTAAAACATCCTGGAGCCTAGCAGCTCATATAGAAAAAAAGCACAGATCAATAAAGCCAGAAGACTAATGTGGTTTTAGAGATGTATTTCTTCACAATGGTATCAGCATACTACAGAGTTTTACAGAGGAAATGGAAGCTGAGCAAGAGATGATAGGACATAAATGTCAGGACTTCTTAACAAGTTGGGAATATTCTGGATTGTTAATGTGGTAAAATGAACAAACAACAAACAAACAAAAAGCCAAACCCTAACAACCCCAAAACAAAAAAATAGTATGCAACTAAAATCAAGGATACCACATCAAGAAACATGGCACAAACTAAGTAGACCTGCAGTGCAAAACAATGGGTGTTAAGGACCTTACTGATATCCATCCTACTCAGTTCCAGGGGGGTTAGTTCAGACTAACTTTAGGCTGATTCTGTGAGCTAACAATCTGCCAGAGGCTGAGATAAATAGCATAGTTTAGTTTCATCCATAAAGCAATTAGATCAAGCTCTGGTGCAAACCAAAATACGGTAAATGGGGAATAACAGAAATTCAACTCGTAAGCATAATTCTGAGTGCTAGCACAGACTTACCGGAAGTTGCAATATGACTCTGCTGCTATATATAAAAAAAAGTCTTGTAAGTTAAGTATCTAACTCTGTCTCAAATAACAGAAAAAATAGGATAGGATGATTCCACATGAGCATTGCTGCTGTAAAGACCAATTTTGTCTACCAGACATATCAGTAATTCTCAAAGAATTGCTTTGCCACAGTAAATGTACAAAACCCACAGAAAATCATCATACAGAACTATTTCTAAACATGACTTGCTTGGCTTCACACATACACAGTATGCTTTTGCATCACTTGCTTTTGCAAATGAAGCTGATACAATATGATCCAGTAGCTGGGGGCATCTTATGTGACTCAAGAAGTCTCTTAATGCTTATGAAGTGTAGCAATTAAAACAAGTCTGTTTTCAGTGCCATTCTACTGCCAAATGGGGGGAATCCCCCAACTACCCACATGTATTCAACAGACATTACAGTAATCTTTTAAATAAAGGACACAACTACATCAAAAAAAGAAAAAAAAAAAGAGAAAGTGAAAGCGAGAAAGTCTACTTTACCTGTATGTTGTTCTTCAATCCAAACTTGCAGATACACGAAGAGGAGTAGACCAGCTACTCCAAACATCAGTACAGACACAAAAACTTGTCTTAGATTCATGACCCTAGCAGGGAGTTACTTTTCAGCTTTCAGAGGGACACATGGCTCACTTCCCGGAAATCTTCAGCGTGCCTGCATCTTCTTCAGCATCTTCCCCTGAGACACCAACCTGGAAAACAAAAGATGGAGCTAGTTCTTGTGTTACATTCTTATTCTTCATCAGAGACTGTGCAAACAGCATATTATATACAAACTGGAACTTTTACAAGCTATTATTTTCAATGCTTAGATTTCTGCTCACAATCTCAATGCTCCTTCTACCCCTGGATGAGTTCCAAGTGTTTCTCAAGGTGGCTGCAGAAAACATTCCAACTCCACACCACCAAACATTGCCTTGCTGTTGTTAATGGAGGGAGGTGACACCCGCAGGGAGATGCCCAGGTGTCACACCAGTCAACCAGTGCCCACCAACTATCACAGCTGAGCAGCTACAGCAGCAGCTGGAGGCATCCTGGGTGGCCAGGTTCCACCCTGGTGCTGCCAGTTCCTTGTGATGGGCAACCCAGTGCCTCTGTTTCTGGACTGCATGACCCTGTGTGCCCAAGGAAGGATGTCTGCAGTCACCCCCATAACACAATTCCACTCACAGTGCCTTGACATCAGTTCAGCCTATGCTTCCGGGAGTCATACTTTGATATTTACCCTCAAACATGAATCCTAGTTTTGCAGATATCATTGTAAGATAATATCAGTAATGCTGCAGAAAGGAAATGAGTGGATCAACTTTTTACTCAGCTATTTTGCAACTTGGGAAGGACTTGCAAAAACCCAATTCGCACCACTAAGTTCAACAGAAATGAGACTGAATGTGAAACCTTACCAAAAAGATTACTTTCTTGCAGAGCAGAGGGCTCAGAAAAAGGAAGTATTATGCCTGATGCCCTGCACATGCCAGAAAAAAGGCTATAAAATTAAGTTAGAAAACACGGTGGGTCATAAAAAAGCCAACTCTTTAACCTGAATCAGAATGCTGGAAGCATGTTACTAGAAGCTGAAAAGCAACTGTTGAAACTGACCTGGTCAGCAAAAAGAAAAGTGTTAAAATTCAACAAAATGGAAACCCTTATAAGTGCATATTGGATAGATGTGTCTGGTAAACTCCCACAAAGAACGCAAAGAAAAACTCAAGCTTTTAAACGAAGACAGTCTACTGAAAAATATTTGCAACAGAAATCTGTTAACAGAGCTAACGTACATGAGCCTCCAAATAAAGAAAAAAAAAATGCAGGCATTTAAGAGTTATTCTGAAGTATACAAGAGCTGCAGGTTCCGTAAGTTTGTAATTTTTTTTAAGTAACTCAGCTCTGTTACATCTGTAATTCCTCTGTTACATACACACACACACACACACACACACACACACACACACACACACACGGCTTAGCAGGAACTCCCATTAAAAAATAGCTGTTGAATGAACAAAGTAACTGTGTTTAAAAGACAAAAGATTTCAAGAACAACAAAACTGCATGCAGAGCTTTAAAGTGTTGTTTGGTTTTTTTCCCCCAGTTCCATGCCATTAAGACTATACATTGCTCTAAAGCAATGTACTAGCCTGCAAAAACTGTAAACCAGAGTTTAAATATTAATACTTTCATACATAATTGTTCTGTAGAAGACAGCTAGACATTAACAGAATGTAAATGTTCTGTCTGAAGTGTTTTGTATGGCCTCTATGTATCTGGATTGAATCTGGAATATGGAAGGAAGACAACTAGGTGCTTTATTGCACCTAGTTCCTACTGCCTTGATTCTGCAGAGATGGCATTACCTGTGTGTTATATACATGTACCTGTTTGCAGCTACTGTGATGATGCACAGGACTGGAAGGAAGCAGTGAAGACTGGGGAAAGCCAAAGAAAACGCGCTTCACTAGCTGTTACCTCTTGCACCTTCCCCTACAGTGCTCTCAGCACTCTCAGACTTGCAGTTTTCTTTTTTTATGCCAAAAGGTTTACTTAGGTCTTTGCACCTAACTTCAGTCATGCAGCAAATGCACTGTTTGCATGTCTTCAGAAGTCACTCTGCTGACAAGACAGAAGCTTCCCAGCATAAGTAATGCTTTAAGAGCCATTAGTCAAAGGACTAACAAATACAAACCTCTTCTGTTTTCCCCCAGACAAAAGCTGTGTTGTTCATGTAGAATGACATCGACAGCATCTGGAATAGAAACAAAAAAGCCAAATAAATAAGACATGCACATCTGAATGAGCATCTTTGACAGAAATTAATCAAAGTGGAGGTACTAGAAAGCAGGAATCAGTTTATTTTGGAAAAGTTGTTTGGGATTCATAACTTTCTCATGATAAAAAAGCTAGTGATCCAGACACAAACCATGAATAGCGGCATTGTTCCAAATAAGCCCACTTTTGTGATTTTATCATTTGTTTCCATCTCTGACTACACAAAGCTGTTGCATTATGAATTGCCCTTTCTGAGAACTAGTGTCCTTGAGTGGGCAAGAAAACTTTCCTCAGGCCACATGGATGATGCTGAAAACAAAGTATCTCACACCACATCTCCACGAACCATGAACTTTTCCAACACAAGAGGCTGGCACTGCTGCTCTCTCCAGCCACTTGCTCTCCTCATCCCTTATTGCCCAGCTCTTGTCACCACGAGGAGGGCTCACACATTTGCCATGTAACATTCAGCTAAAAACTGTTCCAGGAAGAAGTGGTTCAATCGAACTAAAGCCCTCAAAGGATTTACCTAAGGCACAGTGCTGATGGCTCTTCCTTTATCTATACCAGCCATCACATGCATCTATAGCACATGATATACAGCTGACCTTGAGCAAACACCATCATGGTTGCATGCAGCACCATGTTATCAGCCCTGCATCATCAGATGCATAGTAAAATCAAGAGCACTTCCAAGAAATTTAATCTGTGGGTAAGAAAACAGACGTTTCTTCTACTAGGGTAGTTTCAGTTTTGTGTGGATAGAAGTTCCTAGAAGGCAACAGCAGTTCAAGATGAATTTTTTAACTATCAAACACGCTATAGCAAATTTACTCCACCATCACAGTCACTACAATTACCTTTGTATCAAGAGTTTTCACGCTGCTTGCAATTACTTTATTTAAATTTAATTTATATGAAATTGTATTATTTGAGTATGCGTTGTCTAAGTTTTAAGATTAATTTTAAACAGAAGCAGCATCGGTTTTAATTAAGACTACCTATTTTAGCATAGGTTATTCTAAATACATCAAACCCATCAAAAATCTGAAGCTATTCTGCTACCTTATCAGATTTTTTCAGGCTTTTCAGCTTGAATAAGTAGTTTATTTAAGGTAGTGATTTGTAACCCACGTATGAAAAAATGATAGCGACGTTAAGAAAAGTCTGTGTCTAGCAGTCTTCTAGTAGGACTTGAAAAATGGCTGCACAACACTGACAAATTTGCTCCTTCAGTATTAAAAAGCAAAGGTCATGAATAACACTCTCTAGCATCATGGCAAAGAGGAAATACCTGCAAATATTCTTTAATCAAGATGAATGCTCTCTTGTGGCTGTGAAGGAAGAGACAACAAGCAATTACTTTCAACCTAAGTATTTTCAGAAGAGATCAGCTGTATCCAGACATAGGTTCAGCATCCCTAGTTAAGCTGTAAATCTTTCCTTGCCTCCAGCTCTGGGCAACATGGCTCCATGGTGTGATAACTTGACCATCCTGCTGAATAGGATGCTTGCAATGGGGAAAATAATGTAGCCTAAGAAACTGCTGTATCCCTCTAACCCATGCTGAACTTGATTCTTACTTTATCCTGACTTCCCTCCCATCTCTTTTGAAAGTATGGACCCCAATGTCTCACATGTTTCAACTCAAGCCTTCACAGAAAATGTCATAGTGACCAAAACAGCCCTAACTTCAGGTCCTTTCAGAGTACCACTATGCCTTAGATGACAACACAGACCTCTTTGCACCAAAAATTTAGAAGCTTGATACGTTTATATTCATTCACTTTTGATGCCAAATTGTTTAATGCCATTGTCAAATTTAACAGTTTCAGGAATCCACATTCCTCTAATGTGAAACCCTTGCATTTTTCCAACTCTGTTTTTGGTCCAGCTGGAAGACGCACATTCCTGAGCAGGGCCAACACAAGCAATTGAATCAGCACAGCCACCCAAAAATGGGGAAGAGTGCATCTCCTGCTTTTGGCATGATTCCTAATTTCAGTACATCATCCACCCCGGCAAGCAAACACACCTGTAGCTGAGGAGAGGAACCTCCAGCACTCAGGTACCATTACTGGCTTTTCCGTATTCCAGACCACACAAAACAAATCGCACCTCTTTGCAGTGTGCTTGCCTAACATAAGATTTCCTTGCTGCTGTTACCTACACCACCACTTAGTCATAAAATCAAAACCATATAAAAGCAAAACATTAGATTGCCTCAAACAATTCAGAAACATTTTTGTCAATTCCCCTCCACCATTTTCCCTCACCTGCAAAAAAAATGATCAAGATGCGTGTCTTAGCCAGCAGAATACTAATGGGAAAAAACAGATGCTCTTTATAATGGTCAAAGCATTCATATTATTGGGGGTTACCACAAATTCCCACTGTCTCAGCATCTCCTTAGATACAACTGAATTAATGAAAGCAAAAGGAGGAAAAGGATACTGCAATCCCATACGTTTTTCCCTCTTTCCTTCCTTACCTCAAGAAGCAACACGTTTTCTGATGCCTCCACTGGAGCATCACAGCAAGAAAATTTTGTACCAACGAATGCCCTGCTGGATACTGGCCCAGGCTACTTTAGCTCAGTCAGCAGAATAAGGCACAGATACCTTCTCACTTCAATGCTCCCCCTCCTTCCTCACTTCTCATCTGTTAGCTTCTGTCCTACTTCGCGCATAGGTGATCCTCCAGGATCGCCTTTCCACTGTTCATATCTCAACTTTCTGGCTTTACAACAACTAACACAAGGCACAGCTCCAGCTCTCGACAGTGCTTGCACAGTTCCTCTTGTCAGGCAGGGCTGCTCTGCATTCTAGTTTATTCCAGTGTTTGCTAGGAATAAACATACAATATTTGCTGTTTAATTTGTCCAGCAAGTTACACTGAGTATTATGATTGAGTGAAGTCAAAGTCCTTCCAGAAGTTTGAATTAAGTGCATAACCAGATCAAGATAACCAAACTCAGTGCTGCTGAGAAAATTTGTTGAAATAAAAATAATAAACAAACCAAACTTCCCTTCCTGTCCATAGGAATCTACTGAGGTGTATCACGGGTATGGTAAAAAAGCTGGCAGGCCTCAGTACAACAGGACTGAGTACAGACAGTGCAATGTAATGATGAGTTTCTCTCTCAACCCATGACAAACAGTGTTTCAGTACCTGGTGAGAAAGAGGGAGATACAGAGCATCCAGGCCCATTGGTACATCAGTGCTGCTGATACCTCAGCAATTTCTTCACCTGAAGAGATGCTTCTAAGAAAGTTGTGTCAAGATGTAACTGAAGGCACCATCTGGCCTGCACAACTTTTATCACTAGCAGTAATGGAAGATTATTACCTACCAACCTCGCAAATCAAGTTAAGAGAATTTTGTTAGCATTCCATAAGATAAAAATGGTTAAGTATTTTGTATTAATAGGTAGGGATTTCTTATCAAAGGAGAGAACTGTTTAAACAAAACGAGCGTCCTTCACTCACCCACTGAAAATCCTGAAACAGTAAAACCCCTTTAAAAAAAATAGAGCTTAAAAATTCAAAATTTCCAGAGCAGTCACAAAATTCCAAAGACCAACACCATCAAAGTAACTTCCCACCCAGCCAAGTTGCATATATTTAACATTTTTCTACTTCACTCTCCCTTGTTACGTTGCAGACCACAATGTTGTTACAGCAATTATGTTTAGTTATTAATGCACTTTAAAGCATACAACATGTTGTACATAATTATTAATGTGGCAAAGAAAACATGGTTTGCATTTGATTTGGCCATTAAAGTCACTAGTTCCTCATTATCCTTTCAATATATTTCCAAAGGGAAAAAAACTCCTTCAAATGAAACAATGGACGCAAAGTTTTTTTTTAGTAAAGAAGCATATGTCAATTTCTGATGCCATTAAATTTTTCTATAGGGCTCATACTGAGTGACTGAAAGTAGTCAATAGCACCTGCACTGCTTCTGAGAACATGCACAAATACAACCATTTACCTGGTCCTGCTCCTCAACCATAAAACCTATTGGACTTCAGACTATATAGTTTAATCCACATGTCAACTTTCAGCCACTTGTGGGTTAATTTAAAGCTGAAGTTCTACTAATTATTCCTTAGAGACAAACAAACAAAAGTATGCTTGTGTTAACAACAGATAAATGCAGAGCTGTCCTATCCATGAGTACGTAAGTTAACACATCAGAGTCATTAAAAGTTTTGCTTGTATAAAGAGAACAGAGAAGACACTCCAACACTAAAAGTGCTGGGTTTGTAACTTCACCAGTTTACCAGACTATTCCATACCAAGGGTTTCATTCTACAGCTGCAGGACATCTTGTTTTGAAAAAAGGAAAAAATATTATTATTCTTTGTAACAGCTCCCGGTCAGGACTGGGGACCCCACTGCACCTCAGCAGACAAAGATTGGCATGCATAGCTCTTACCTGCCTGCAGCACTGCTAGAAGTCAGCAAGCAGTCCCCACGGAAGTCACCTGTATTTTGGGGAGTTGGAGCTAACAGGAAGGCAACTTGGTAGCTTTTAATCTTCTGGCAGGGTTGCAGGTGGACTTTCTTCCTCCTCTTAGGACAGGGAAGAGTAAGAAAAGGGCTGTGTCAAAGCAAGATTTTGCATTTTTTAAACTGGTGAATTTACACGATGTTGTTTATCGACTGCAGCGAACAGAACTGTTATCAGCATGCCATGCAGACTTGCAGCCCGCCCCAGCCACCCACTCTACTGCTTGAAAACGCACGGGCACCACTAGACAGTTCTTTAGTTGCGAAGACATGCCCCGAATTCCCGATGCCCGCAGTATGACGGTGCGTGGGGCGGTCGAGGAGTCAGCAGAAAAGTTGGTGGCTCTGCAGAACGGCGGGGGGCTCAGCACTACCCGAAACTTTTGGGGACGACCGGCAGCCCCCCTCTGCAAGAAGGGACGACCCTCGGCGGCGGCTCCCGGGGCTGAGAGCTCCGCGCCGCAGACAGCCGGAATTGGCCCCGCTGTACCCGTCTCACCCCCTCGATCCGTCTCCTGCGGGCGGTCCCCGACAAACGTACCGGGGCGGCGGCGCTGCCTCCGCTGGGGAACTCCCTGCGCCCTGGGGCTGGGCGGTGCCGGCGGAGCTCTGCACCCGGGGAGCCACCGCTTGCGGGGCCGGGAGGACATCCCGCAGCAACCCGCCAACACTGCGCACACGCTACCCCCCCCCCCATCCTCCCTCCGCCCCCCGCGGCAGCCCCTCACCTGCCCGCCGCTCCCGGGAGGCGCCGGCGCTCAAACTTTCACCGCGAAACTTTTGGGGCCCCAGCCTGAACGAGAGCCCCCACCGAGGCCTAGCGGGGGTGCGTCTCTTCCTGCCGGGCAGGTGAAGGGAGGGTTTGCCCGGCGGCGCGGTGGCTGCAGAGCCCGTGTGACGGCGCGGATTGCTGCTCGCCGCTCCTGCCTCTGAGAGCCCAGGAGATTAAGCGCTTTGCTAACAGGTTTTGTTTGCTGTTACGGATCCGGAGGTAGCCTCTCCCTGTGCGAGCAAACAAATGTATCTAAGCTGCCAGGTAAAGGCAAGTCGTACCTGTAAATTAGCTACTGAAACAGGTAGCGTAAAAACTTTATTTCGTCTATGGGAAACGGGATGCATAGAAAAAAAAAATACGGAATTAGTGCTTATTAGCACTTCGTATGCGCCTTGCAAACGTTATCAGCTTATTCTGACAATAGACTAGCCATGTAGATAAGTAACGTTATCTCTCTTTAATGGGCGTTCAGTTTCGCTTATGTTCCTTCAAGGAAGTCCTGGAAGAAATAGCTCTTGCTCTTGCTGAAATGGGGTAAGCACAGAGGAGTCTGGACTTCCCAGAGCTATGCTCAAACCACTTCTATCGAGCCCTTCCCCTTCAGGCATTTCACTGCAGTGCTACATGCCCAGAATTACCCCAGCACACACTTCTGACATGCTTCAAGTCACTGCCCCATTGCTCACTTACAGCAAAAGGCCTTTCTTGGAATAACAGTAACATAACACTTCATGTTTTTACATGTTTTACCCTAACAGGTCTCAAATCGCCTTACACACTGTTATAGCCAGCACACAGGGATCACTTCTCCAGCCAGCAAAACAGTCACTTTTGGTGTGAAGCTGAGCACTGCCAACCTGCTCAAGGCAGTGTTTCAGAGCACAGAGTAGAAAGCTGTGTGCTGCTCTGATTTCCAGGGGGTTTAACTAAGCAGAGTGTAATTATCCCGACCAGAGCTTAGACACTGGGAATAAGACACGTTCATTGAAAAGTGCCCCAGGATCTGCAGCAGCCATGGGCAGGCAAGATCTGTGCACAGGGGAGTTCCTGTGGGTTTCCAATCCAAGTGCTAAACCATCCTGCTCCAGTTTGTGTTGGGTTGTGTATGTATGGTTTCACTGTGGTGCTATAAATTTTCTCTCTTTTATCTCACTTGAGTCACTCCCTAGTCGCAGTTCATTATAGAGGTCAGCAGCTGAGAAGAGACCCGGAGAACAAAGATTTTTCCTTATTTTCCTTTAAAGCCACCCATGGATCTACTTCTGAAGTTCTGGTGAGAAAAGACTACTTCCCTCACATCTGTAGCTTGTCTGGCTCCCTGTTAGAAATAAAAGGGGAGGAAGGAGGGAGGGAAGTAGGTTTAACAGCAGAATATGCTAGTTGTTTGCTATTTCAAAAGTCTTGAACATGCTTCCCTTTTTAGACAATCTGGCAGGCATGTGATACTATGATAACCATATGCCCTCACAAAAAAAAATGGAACCGTGTATTCAAATTAGAGATCAGCTAGTCCCTGATGGCCAGTGAGATTTTAGAGGAAAACAACATGCCTACTGAATTTTAGTTTCCTGAGGTAATACACTCAGAAGATTGTAATGAAAGTCACTGAGGCTTCTGATAAGGGTATACAGATTAACCTTCTGAGTGTTGTAGATTTAATTTCACTCAATAAGTACATGCTGCAAACATATTTCTTCAGATTGATCTGCTCAGACTGTACCCATTGACTGATTGAAGTTATATATAAGTGAAAAGATCAAGCTTCTTGATTATTTTTTTTTTCAGTTAAAGGAATAAATTAATTGCTTTGGGATAAAGCCAAATCTTGTTTTACAACTTGATAAATACCCTCCCCCTCCAGTTTCCTCCCCTCTGTGCATTTAGCTTATATAATACTTGTTCCACCACAGGTACTTCCAGCGCAGAGGGCATATTCCAGATACGGATTTAAGTTCTTTACCAGATTAAAAATTCAACATGCAGGTGAAATTGGACACTGGGTTAGGAAGCTCATCAGCTACATAAATGTAATCGGCACCTTCTGAAGCCTGACGTGGAGTGAAAAAGAAACGAATTACGAAAAGGTGGCGGCACTCTGTCTGTGTCAGCGGGGTTGGTACAGAGCCAGCGCCTGCATCAGAAACCCTATTCTTGGCAGGTTTCTGCATGTTTCTCATGGCTTCTCATGGTAGACAAGCAGCTCAATGGTTAAAAAGTTAGCAGCGTCATGTTTTGCAAGCAGTGAGGCAGCGCTGGTGTGGTGATGCCTCCTCGCAGTGACAGGAGCAGTAGGTGCAGTTGGAGAAGAAAGGTAACAGGCCATGAATTAAAACTGAAACCTGACAAAAGTTACAGGTCAATTTGTAGAAATAAAACCACTTTTGCTCTACAGTAAGACCAATTAAAGCTCTTTAAGCACATTTTCTGTGTAGATTTTCAGCTCAGCTTAGCAGCAACAGCCATGGAGGAAGGTTTGGTTTGGATGGTAGGTTACAGTTACCGATGCTCGCAAGTGCTTCTCTGACTGCTAGTGCACATTGTGTAAATCCCCTAAATGCTCCGTTGGCACTTGGACCTTTCCCTGGTGTGAGGTGGGATGGAAACCACATGAGCCATTGCTGTGACCTATTAGGAAACCTCTCGCTCCTGCTCAGCTTTCCACACAGCCCAGGTTTCCATCTGAGATTTTGCAGAGTTTACAGCAAAGCTAGCTCAGCCACCCACACACATATACACATTCAGAGTCAGAAACTGCGATTCTTATGTTTAAAGAATAATTTAATATGAAAACCATGACTGGAGTAGCAGCTGGGACAAAACTGTGCTTGTTTGGCCTGATCCTATTCCAAAGGGGAAAGATTAGACCTTCAGAGGTTTTTTTAGATTAGGGAAATCCATTCCAAGTACCATTATTTAATGCAGTGAATTTTGGGATGGGCCACACTGGCACAGTTTCAGTGCTGTGTGTTGTGTATCAATATAGAGCCGATTAGACGAACCTTTGGTGATTAAAAGCATTTTATCATTATGAAGGTGTCTTTTGCTCCAGGGCATAAGCCATTCCAGCAAGTAGTTTCATCTTATTTCCTTGAGCTTTTTTTAATTTTCAGCTAATTAGCTAGAAATGCACCACCTACAACGTGCTCCTTTTCTCAGTTAGGAGGCTAAAATTTGCCTGTACTGAGCATTGCTATGGGGCATTTGCTTGGTTTTTTTTTTAAACTGCAAGCAACTCAGTATAAAATTCATTTGCTCAGTAACTGGCATGCTGGGGTAATTATCAAAGCCTTTCGAAGCAAGTTGTGTGCTCATTCAGAAATATTAGGCAATTCAGAGTATCTGTTGTTCTTCAGCTATTACAAAGTTTTGTTTTTCAGTCTCTAAAAGCAAACCCAACTTGACTTAAGCACTTCAGTGAGTTAACTGTGAAGCTATTTTATTCTAATGGGCTCCTGTCTCAAAAAATAGCTGAAAGACAACAGTAGCTGCAGTATTTTTTTCTGAAGGTTTGTGTATTATCTTACTGCCATTCTAAAATGTTCTTCAAATGGCAGCCACTACTCTGTCATGAGCTGCAGGGATGGAAAATGCCTCAGGATGTCCTAAAAATTGATTTTCTGAAAAAGCGAATTCATTCTGTCTTTAAAAGTCTGGTGAGGGCTTCCAGTCACAGATATGAATGGAAGGTTAAGATTAGCTCCCCTTCTCTTACTCCCTCTTCTCTAACACTGGATAATCAGGGTGTACGTATGTTCTCATGCTATAATACGTTTACATCTTAGATCAAAGTGTTAGATTTGCAGGCTCCATGCAGGGAGGTTTTCTACACAAGGCTGGATAAAGTCCTGAGCAACCTGGCCTGACCCCATGGCTGACCCAGTTGTGTGCTGCAGATCGGACTAAAGGTTTCCTGTGATCCAGTCCTTTGTGAGTTGTCCTGTGCTGTCTTCCTGGATAGGGCATCTAAAAATCAGGGTATCGTACTTTTACCAGAAATGTCTCATCTCCAAATACGAGATCTGAAGACTGCTACCCTTACACAGATGAATGAATGAGGTCCTTAACTACCACCAGAAGGATTCTGTTGTTATGTGGTTTGTAAAGCAAGGAGGACGTTCCTCTGAAAACCTTCATCACTTCCATGAGAAGATTCTGAAAGAAGTCTGTTTTTCCAGGACTTTTGAACAGTGTTTGTAAAATCTATGTAACATTGTAGTTTCTAGTTTGCCTAGGTCTAGAAAATGGGAAACATTTCTCTTTTTTTCTGCCAAATAATGCTAGATTATGATACCTCCTGGAAAAGAAAAGCCTATTGTATTAGAATGCCTAGCTGGGAGACAGTTTCTTTGGTGTTTCAGTTATTGGTATCACAGTGTTCACCACAAAATTAATTGTGAATTACTTAATTGTTTGATTTAAATACTTTAAAGGCATTCATAAAGATCTTGAAGGATATGTTCTTCATGCTTGTCTTTCAATTTTGATTGAAGAGATCTTAGCAGATCATCTCCCTCCTTACTGTGGAGTCTGTATTTCTCAGCTAAGACTGACTGCTCTTAGGCAATACACAGACTGAACTCCTCTTCTCCCCCCCAACCCCCCTTAGACCAATTTTACTGTCTTTTACATTACTTAATGTCAGAGAAGTAAAATCTGAATATTGTGCTCTGGTCTCTACACATACCCTGAATGTGAGACAAACAAAATTCTCTTACTCCCAACAGCACTCCTGGTAGTAGAAAGTTCTGCACTGATTCAACATCTGTTGACAAGCTGTCTATATAAATCGAAAGAGAAATGAACTGATACATGAAACTGAGTGTGCCTCCAAAGTGATTCACAATCTGTTGAAACAAGACACCATACCATTAAATATGTAATTCCAGTATTCTAGCTTCTTTTCCAGCCTAAAATACCTGGAATAAAAACCAGAAATACGGTGACATGACAATCTGGCAGCCACCCTGAAGCACAGATAAAGGAAGATTGAAATAAAACAGTGTGGGATTCTCTTAGCCAGTCCCAGCATTGTGCTACATGTT